TTTGCTGGTCAGGAATGGCTTCCTGGAACAAGTGGCTTCTTAGACAAGGATTAAAGGCAGGCCGTTGAACAGTAGGAGATTGGGGAAGAGGAAAGGAGATTGACAGAGAGACTTACAAGAGCCGATCGCTAAGTTTACAGGAGTTTTATGAGCCAGTTGTTAAACACAGCTATTATTAAAAACTAATTTAAATAAACTTGCAGTTAAATAAGTTAAAAACAAAAGTAGTAAATACTCAAACTCATCATTCCCAATCATTTTATTACATTTGACCATTGTGTAAACTCTTGATATTATTTACATCTATTGTATCTTATAGCGAAAATCATACTTAATGTTCTACCTCATCTATCTTCCCACCTCTGCCTTTGGTTACATCACATGGGTAACTTGAAATCAGCCATGATGGGAATATTTACACTACGAAAATGGGCAGATACTACAAACCTGGACCCTCCATTTCTTCTCCAGAGAGCCAGTGGTTAAACATTTACCTGAATTTAATGAACATACATAAAAATGCAGAAATCACAAGTGTGATCTTAATGCATTTTCCTAAAGTGAACATACCTGTGTGTCCAGCACTCAGATAAAACAGTAGGAGATTACCAGCACTCCAAAGCCCTCTCACACCCTTCTCCGGTTGCTAGGCTCCTTACTCACCCCCCACAGGGGTACTGACTATTCTGACCCCCTCAATACCTTTTAGGAATTCTTAGGAGGGCTTCTGCCAGCCCCTCATTCCCAGAGCCACCCCCCCCCTACATTTTGGGGTTAGCATCTGGGTATTTCTTTTCTCACTAACCTGTTTGAAATACTTTAATTGCACTGCAAATACAGAATCACAGAGAAGAGATTAGAAAACACATATGTGGAAGCCGTCTCTTGAGATAGCTGCCTGCTTACACTGGTTCCCCTGGACAGGCAGAGGGGATCTGAATCCAGTTTGGTCTGATGCCAAGCCCAAGGCCTTAACCAGAGAAAGGCAGTGACTAGATCATGAAGGGTTGTGTGAGCCATGCAAATTAACGTGCATCTAAAGGAGAAAGGACACCTAGGAGGAGGAGGGAGGTGTGACCCACTTTGTCCCTGGAAGCTCATTCCCTGCATGGAGAGAGAGGTACTGGAGGCAGGTGACCATCTGCAGGCTTCGCTGATCAGAAATGTAGAAAGAATAGTGGCCTGAGCTGGCCAATATCCTTCTGAAGATCATTCTCCCCAATATCATTGTTCCTGAGCCTGTGAAAAGGGAACTGTCTGTGCAGTTAGGACAAGAGGAGTGGAAGGAAATCTGCTTCCTGTGGGGATAATGTCTCCTAATTCTCAGACCATGAGCTCTCTCCAGCATCCAGGTTAAGAGCATGAACTCTGAGCCAGGCAGACCTGTGTTTGAGGTCTGCCTCTGATACTTACTGGCTGTGTGAACTTGTAGAAGTTACTTAACTTCTCTGAATCCTGGTTCACCTTCATACCAAATTATAATAACTGCGGCTCCATCCTCAAAGCTCGTTGTAATCATCAGCTATGAAGTACTTAGTTCATAATAAGCACTTAATATATGTTCCACGTTGCTGTAGCCTCGGCTGCCTGATCTGGAAGAGAGGAAGGAGAATTTCCCAGAGAGCTGTACCACTTTCAGGACAGACCCTGCATTTTTGGTCTTCTGAAAGCCAAGGTCAGTCTCCTTGGGATCCCAGAGGCTTCTGCAAAGGAGGATCATATGTCCAAAGGATTCTCTGGGGCCTGCAGGAACCTGGTGGGAAGCAAACGGTGTCTGTAGCATTGCGGGATTTCTGCCTCACAGAACCTGAAAGGAAGCCCCAGGTTGAGATCAGAGACAAAGGCGGAGGTAATGATTTTGTGGCAGCCCCTGATAGGCAGATCCGCAGAGAAGGCAGCTCAGGCCTCTTTCTTTCTGGGCTGGAATGAATCAGGCGGCAGGGGGCGAGTGTGTGTGTAAAGGCAGGGGCTGAGCTAAGGCTTCCATAGGACAAGCTTGGAGCCCCGGTGGGCGTCATGGCTCCACTGGATTTGGGTGCCGTGCCCCCACGTCCCTCCAGTAAGGAGGCTTGGACTGGTTTGTTCACAGCAAGGCTCAGCGCCCCTTTCCAGGGGGTGTGCGAGCCGGAGATTTATTACATAGTCCGGGATCTAAATCTCTGCGCCCCTGTTACTCACTTGTGAATCCTGAGGTTTCCTGAACCCCCCAAGTCCCAGTGCTACGTCAAACGCACCCAACATCAGCACGCAAACCTCACTGCAGTGAGGGTGACTGGGCGCCTCCGCAGCCCTACCCCTCTGGCCTTCAGCTCCCGCCCTCTCCGGAAGGCCCCTCTCTCCCCCACACCCACCAGGGGCGCTAAGGAGCGCCTCTGCACCTGGGTGCCCAGGAAACTCCAGCCAGCCTGACATTCGCATTTCAGGGACTCTGCCCCTCCTGTTTTAGATAAGCGGCCGACCTCCCACTGATCCCCCTTGCTTTCAGTGCAGTTCTAACAGCGCCGCCTAAGGGCCATGCCTGCTCTCAGGGAACCTTTCCCGGGCCACAGGCGCGGGAGCTCAGCCTAGCTGCTGTCGGGCCGGACCGATCCGCGCGGGAGGCGGGGCCTCGGAATAACGGGGCGGGCCTCTGGGGCTCCGCTGTTGCGGGAGCGGGGTTCTAGCGAAGGCGGGCTGGGTTGACAGAAGGTTCGCTGCGCGGAAGATGAGCCAATGACTAAATCATCGCCCACTGGTACATCCCCCAGACAATGACTTAATATTTGCATGTTGTATGTCTTTTCCCCTGGCAATTTTATGTCTTAAAATAAAGTAGATTATGATATATCCATATCTTATACATACATATTCTGCTTTGAGGTGTACTTTTTACCCCCTATAGGATAGACGTTTAGACACTCCGACTTAGGGTTTGGGAGGATTGGAGTTCGGTGGTTGAGGGTGAGTGTGTAATGTTCACTTTCACTGGCCTTGGGTTCCAGTCTCAGCCCTCCACGCAGGCTTCCTGAACACCTGCAGCATAACCAGCCCTCTGTCATCCGTCCCTCCCTACCTACTCGTCTTTCTTCCCTCCCTCTCTGCAGCTCTGAATTCTTCTCAAAGGAAAAGAGCCAAAAGACGGGTAGGAGGCAGTCCATGGAAGCTGACCGGGGACACCCTCTTCCTGTCTTAGGTTCCCCCACCTGCAGTACGCACTAGGCCTCTCTCCCAGCGCCCTTCTCTTGAGCTCCTTGCGCGGCTGCCAGCAGCTCCTGGCACCCACACCACAGACGAGAGTTGGCAGGGTCTTCCTGGGTCCCTGCAGACATTCCCTTTACTGCTGGGCCCATTTAGTTCCGGGCTGAAGAAGAATGGAGACTTGAGTGTTGCGGACCTCAGTTCTAAGTGGCCACCTCCTTTCTGGGCCAGGCTGGTTTCTCTGGGCCCTTCCACACCCAGTGCCTCAGGCTACTGCACTCGCAGGCCTGCTGTGGAGGAGTGGAGTTTGAGGAGCAGGTGGTCAGCTCCTCTGTAGGGAGGGTTGGATTGCAGGGTCAGGTAGGGCAAATTTGGTGGCAGTGGATCTAGTGCAACAGAAGGTCCCGGTCTGGGCTTCAGAGACCTGTATTTCACCTGTGCCTCTGATGCTATCTTCCTGGTGACATTTGTGGAGACCCTTCTGCTCCCAGCCTCAGGCTTGCTTTGTGTGGAGCAAGGCGGCAGCCTATGCAAGCTTTCTAAGGCTTTTCATGGCCTGATGCGAAATCCCTTCCCTTCAATTCCCCCACGCACTCCCACATGCACCTCTTCTGCCAGGAGAGGTCTGGCTCCCTGCAGAAGGGGTTCCCCAGGACAGGAACTGACTGGTTTCTAAGGAGGCCCACTTTTTCTCTTCTCTGTTTCCCTGCATTTGCTCTCTCAGGTGAGTCCTGGGCTCCTCAGCACAGGGTGCAGCAGATGAGTCTCTGCCCTGGCTTCAGTGTATCCACATTTGAATCCTGGCTGTGTGTTCTTCATCAAGTTACAGAATCTCTCCAAGCCTGTTTTCTCACCTATAAAATGGAGATAATAGTATTGATTGCAATGGATTATTCTGAGCAATAAATGCAATAAAATTTAAATGTAATAAAGCAGGTCAAGTCCTAACACAGTGCCTGACACATAGTAAACCTGCAATGAGTGTTACTGTTGTGGTCATCGCATCATCATTGTTATTGTTATTTACTGCCCACCCTCTGTTACTGCAGGGAAATAGACCCTTCCTGCAGGGCGAGTGGGCAGCTTGGCATGGTTAGTGCTAGGGGCCAGGGGATTCTGGCTTGAGCCCTCTGTATGTACGTCCCAGGAGCAGACTCCAAGGAGAAGCCCTCCTACTTCCAGGCACAAGTCCTTCTGTGTGCATTGTGCCAGGCCCCCTAATGAATTGCCACTGTACCCACAGGTGGGCTGCTGTGAGGATAAGAGTCCCCATCTGCATAGCACTTGGACCAAGGCCTGCCCCCCCCCTCAGAGATTGCAGCCAAGGGCACTGTTGTCATTGCCACTAGGATTAGCCACGTCTGAGGCTGTACTGCAATGGGATGATATGGAGGAGTCCAAAGATCTGGGCATGAACTGGTTGTGGGCTTCAGGCAAGTCATTCAACCACTGTGATCCTCAGGTTTCTCCTTTGTATAATGGGACTGTACCATCCCCTTCACAGGTTATTAAAGCGTTAAATAATCACAGCACAGGTATGAGGATTGCATGAGCTCTAAAGACTGGGATATGCTAGTCCATATTTTGTGTTCAGTATAGGTGGGTACCTAGTACATTCTATGCACCTATGCCATTTGCAAGCCCCTCTTTTTTCACTGGGGGCCTTTGTCCTGTCTCTATGCCCTTGTGGAGGAGGGCAAGAGCCTGGGTACCCATTTTTTCTCTGCTTCCTGTCCCAAAGCTTTCAGCTCCAGGCTGCACTTGGCCCAATGTTGAGTCAACCAGCAGCTGAGAGACAGGAAAACTCACAAGGAAGGGACACATGCAGATTTTTTTTTAATTAAAACGAAAATTAGAAAACAGACACTTCCCAGGGTGTGCCATGATGAAGTACATACAAAACAAGAGAAAACCCCAGATGCTGCCTGCACAGACCCTTGTGCGGCAGGCTGCTGGCCCCTCCCGAGGCATTGTTTTCTGACATTCACCTCTCCTGGACTGTAAAAAGGAAGGGCTTATTCAGCCTTGTTTCTCTTGGAAGACCCAGCCACCTCTAGCTCACTGGTCCATGACGTGCACACAGGAAGCTGGGCTTTACAAGACTTTAGCAGGTGGGCAGTGCTGGGTTGGGGTAGGGAGCTTGTGGTGCACCCTCCTCTCCTGCTCTGCTCAAGGTCTCTCCAGAGCTGGTGGAGCAGCATCCCCCTGTGGGGAGAGGCTGGACATGCTGTTGGGCAGAGATGTGGGCCTCCTTGAGTGGCAGCAAAAGGAGCCACAGAATAAGGACTTGGACCAAGATGAGATGTTCCCAGGGCTGCTGGTAAACGCAGAGAGCTGGAAGGCAGTGGAAAGCTTGCCATCATCAGCTTTCACACTGATCTTAGCTGCTCAACTAATACCTCCATCTTACCTTTGTTGGCCCAAACTTTGGGGGTCACATAGACTCAGACTTGACTCCTGGCCCTGCCGCTTACTAGTTTGTATGACCTTAGGAAGTTACTTAATGTCCTCAAGCCTCAGTTTCCTCATCTGTTAAATGAAGAGGATCATATGAATCCTGCAGGGTGACTGTAAATAGTAAGTGTGATTGTGTCTTTAAAAAGCCTGGGAAGCACCCAGCACATAGTAAGTGCTCAACAAATGGCGGCTATGGTTACTGGTATCCACTTATCAGAGTTTCCATTGCAAAGTTGAGTGTGTGTGTGGATGTATATGTGATAAACAGAAGGTTTACACAATATCCTAGAAAAAGGAAGAATTACTCTGAGCCTCCTGTCTATGGCTGGACAGTTCAGAGGCCTTGGACATAGGGACGCTGGCATGGAGCACTTAACTGCTTTTCTCTCAGGCATGTCCATCTGGCTCGGGAGCCTGTTCTAGACCTCAGTGCCCTCCCTGGGGTAGAGGACCGTGTTCGTGTTGATGCTGTTGTAGAAATGAGGACTGAACTGGTTGAGGACAGAGCTGCTGTAGCCAAGAGTGTTGGTGGGCATGGGGTTGGCCCACTCACCCCCGCTGCCGTGGCTGCTGAGGTTGGTGAGTGGGGTGTAGGAGCTGAAGTTGAGCAAGTTCTGTGCCACCTTGTCAGTGGGTTCAGGGCTCAGTCCTGGTGTTGCCACAGGGCGGCTCATGGGGCTCGACCCACTCACATAGGCTGTCATGGAGGAAAGGAAGTTGTTGAGGCATGGGGTGCCCAGCGGGGGAGGGGAGGGACGCTTGTCTGTGGAGCTGGTGGCTCCTGGCGAAGTGCCGTCCAAGATGTCCTGGGCCTCTGTGGCCTTAGGACTGCCCACCAGGAGACTGGTGTCTGTTTTCTCTGAGGCCAAGGAGCCCGCGCCAGAAGAAACATCTGATTTTCTCTTCCTCTTCCTGCGGAAATTTCCATTATCAAACATCTTCTCACAGTTGGGGTCCAGGGTCCAGTAATTCCCTTTGCCTGGTACAAAAGTGGGAGAATGAAGTAAAGAGATGGACAAAATGCTTTGCTTCTGTTCCTCCTTATTGTCATAAACTAAAAACAAAGGAAACAAATGCAGAAGACAGAAAAAAGGCAGGGACAGGGAAATGGAGAAATCCCATACACCAACCACATGGATCTTAATTTAAGCACCTGCCTTGCAACTAGGCACTCCTGGGGCACAGCGGCATAAGCCATGAAGGAGCTGATGGTATAGGTCTCTGTAAGTTCAAGTGCCAGGGGAACAGTAGGAGAGGGGTTCTTCCTTTGCTGGTGTACAAGAAAGCTCAGGAGAAGATTCAGGCTCCTGGGAAGTCCTGGGCATTGGGTTTGAAGATGCACTTGAGTCTGGGCTTTCCTCCTAACTGAGTGGGGAACTTTGGTCAAGCCTCAGTTTCCTGGTCTGAAAAGTGGGTCCAGTGTAGCTGACCTTTCTACTTCAGGCTGAGTGTGAGAAAAGATAAATGCTAGATGTGCAAAAAGGTTTGTAACCACTAGGTGTAATCCCAAGGTAAACCGTGAACTCTGCCTGCCACCATATCTCGGCCATGAGTGAGGCCATGCCTTGGGCAGGACAGGTGCCCTCTTCTGAGGGACCAGCAGCCTGGCCCTTGTGAGCCTCAAAGCAGGCAGAGGTGGGGCTCCTCTGAACTGTACCCTGGCTTCTTGTGGTGGAACAAGAATGGACTTCAATTCTGGGAAGTGCATGAGTAATTTACCATTCTATGTATGTCTCTGTATTTTAGAAATTCATCATTAAAAAGAAAAGCTCGCAGTCTTTGGTATTTAAGAGACCGCCCTTCAGATTCACACTCCATCAGTAATTTCGTTCTGGGTCGCCTTGGACAGGCTGCTTTACCTGAGTGCTATTCTTCTCTGCAAAATGGGTTTAGTAAAAGCTGCCCTGCATGGGTGGATTAAAGGAGAATCTGTAACTAGGGCGTGCAACAGCACACCATGGCCCTTACTGATTATTCAGCAAAGTCTCAGAAGGCTTGGGATGCACATGGGCTGTGTGTACTCCAGTCGCTCACTCCTAAGGACTTTTAGTAGCTGGGTGCCAGGGATTCAGATGCACCCTAACAATCACTGCAGTCCCATGGGCACTCATCAGCTGCAAAGACTGCATTCATTGTCTCATGGCCATCACTAGCCTGCAAACGCGCCACTGCTGCCATCCCTATTTAGGGGGAGCATCCATATTTATATCATTCCCTGTATGAAGAAACTGAGACTCAGAGGTCTAACCTGCTACAGGTCTCTGATTGCTCAGTGGCCCACCCAGGGTGGAAACCCGAATCTGTCTTCAGGGCCCACATCTCCCCTCAGCTCCCAGTCCTGGGGTCACAGGGATATCAGAACTTTCTAGAATGGGGTGTTGGGGAGGAATGAAGTGAGCCTTCCCTGGGGGCACCAGTGGCTTGCCCAAGCAGCGGGCCTCATCCACCCACTCGGAACAGCGCCAGCAGCCCTCTTACCCGGGTCGTCCTCGTCGCGGGGCACCTTCTTGAAACAGTCGTTGAGAGACAGGTTGTGGCGGATGGAGTTCTGCCAACCAGCCTTGCTCTTATTGTAGAAGGGAAAGTTGTCGGCCACGTACTGGTAGATCTGGCTGAGGGTAAGGCGCTTGTCGGGCGCGCCGTGGATGGCCATGGCGATGAGAGCCGAGTAGGAGTAGGGGGGCCGCACCAGCTTCATCAGCTCCTCCTGCGAGGGGATGGGCAGCCAGCCCAGGTCGCTGCCCCCCAGCCCGGACATGCTGGGCAGCAGCTGCCTCTGCACTCCGTAGGCTTGGGGCAGGAAGGGGCTACCGTTGGTGCCTGGCAGGTAGGGCGGTGGGGTCATGGCTGGCCCGTTGAGCCAAATGTAGGGGTTGGGGGTGGCCCCATACTCGCCGCCACTCTCGAAGGAGGGGGGCCGCTGAGGGCTGGGCACCCCCTGTGGGTGGAAGAAATTCTCATAGTAAAGGTTCACCTCCGGGGGCTCCTGGCCGATGCTGGGGAACTGGGGACCGCAGCGAGGTGGGGAGGGCGCCTGGAGGTCGAAGGAGCTCATGCTGGGGCTGGGCTGGCTGGAGCCACCTGCCTGTCACCTGCACAGGGGAGATGTCCCTGACAGGTGCTCTGCAGGCCCCAGCCTCCCACTTATACCCCTGCGGGCTTGGCCGGCGGGCGCCACCCAGGGGCGGCCACCTGCCGCAGACCCGCCCCTCCGCCGCCCGCCCGGCCGGAGCCAAGGGGAGGGGGCCTCCCGCGGGCAGGTCCCGCTGGTGCCCAGCTCAGCCCCGTGCCACAGGGGATGTTAACAGGACTGGGCGCGCTTCTTTCCGTCTCTCCCCTCGGATTTTCTCTCTCCTTCCATCTCGGTCTTTCTCCCCACCTTTCCCTGTGTTTCCCTGCATTCTGTCCCATTTGCCTTCTCTCCTCTGGTTTCCCACCCTCCTCCTTCCCCCTTCCCTCTGCGGCCATCCTCTCTGCATCTTACTCTTTGTTTCTTTCCCTCTTTCACATTTTCTTACCCTTCTCTTTGCCTCTTATTTTCTTTCTCTCCCTCCCGTTTCTTTGCTCTGCCTGGCCACTTCTCCCTCCTTATGTTCTCCAAGTTTCTTTCTAGCTCTTTCTGCCTCTCTGTCTCCTCTTGCTCACATATTGGTTGTCTCTTCTTCTCCCCTTCCTTCCCATCTCAGTCTCTCTCTTTCTCTGTGTCTCTTTCCCCATCCCCTCCGTTTCCTTCTCCTTTCCCACCCTGACCCCTGGCTCTCTGCCCCCTCCCCCAGACTGGATGAGTCATATATCAGAAGCTACATTTTTTGGTCTTTGAAGTGAAGATACACTTTCTGGATTTTCTAGGAAAGAAACCTGGCTCTAGAGAATCTGAAGAGCAGAAGGGAACTTGAACTTGGCCTCTGGCCCAGTTTCAATAAGGCCGCCAGTTATTGGGGACCTCCCTCCCCTGGCACACACTGTAGGCAGGCAGAGAAGGCGCTGTGGACAAGGCCTGGGATTCTCCCCAAAGAGCACAGGGCTCATAAAAATAACAAGAGGAAGAGAGTGTGAATGGGCTTTCAGGGAAAATGAGGGAGAACTGGCACTCTCTTAGTTTCTTTTGGCTGCAGGGACAAAGCTGGCTCCCTGGGCCTTATCTGATCAAAGTTTTTGCATGTTTCAGATTGCAGAGGCCCTGGAAAGCCAACGGCCAGGAGGAGAGCCACTGACTGCCCAGCTCACCCTTCCCCTCACCCCATTTCTGCCTCAGGCTCCAGAAGCAGGAGCTCCAGCCCCTCCGGCTTCTCTGTGCTGGGTGACCAGGCCCTCCCTCTCCGGCCTCTGTTCCCTGTCCATGGCCTGGAGATGACTTATCCCTGCCTCTCCTTCATCCCAGGGCTGACTTTGGGCCTGGGGAGTGTGTGGTGGCCGCCTTCTCAGAGGGTAGGCAGCTGTCCCCTGAGATGACTGAGGTATTCAGGAGCAGACAGAGATATTTCTCTGGGATCAGCAGATAGGAGAAACGTTCACGCCAGCTTCTCTGGACACCACCTTCCTCCTGCCCTCCTGCCTCTCCTTTATTTCCCCATTCCACTTCCTCTCATTTCCTCCAGACCCCATCCGTCTGTGGGGCTGAAGAAGGAGGTCACTTACTGTCCCAGCTGGAGGAGGGGCTTCCCAGGGAATCCTCCCCTGCCTGTCTCTCTGCTTTTCTCTACAGTGGCATCAGGACACGTGTGGAAACCTTGAATGCCAGGGAGTGAATGTTATTTTGCAGCATATTGGTGCCCAGAGGATGAGTTTGGGTAACTGGGTGGAAGGGTTCCTTCCAGGCCCTGAGGACCCACCTGTCCCCACCAGGGAACAGCAAATGAGGGGTGACCCTGAAAGGACCCACTGGCCCTGTGAGGCCTGCTGTAAGCACACTTGCACTTTCTCTCTGAAGAGTAAAGCAAAAGAAGCCACCCTTTGGTTCAGAGGTTCTCTGCCAGGCCTGGCTTACTGAAGGTGGGGCCCTGGCTTTTCAAAGAACAGTCACACTGGAGCCCACCAATACAGACCCACAGCCTCACAGGTAACCTGGCAACTGCACATCTGATAGTTCATGCCACAGAATTGAACAGAGCCATGAATTATCTACAGGGGTATCCAGCGCAGCTTTCTTTATGGCTGCAAGAAACTTAACAAACCTGAATGTCCACCAGTAATGAATTAGTTAAATAAATTGGGAATTATCCAAATGATGAAACATTATGCTGCTATGAAAAAACTGATTGTAGAATATTTAGTGATATGGAAAGATGATATGTTCTAATACTATAATTTGGAGAAACAGGGTGCAAAATACCATGTTTTTTTTTTCCTGGTAAAAACATATGTTTATACATGTTTATGAGCTTTGTAAATATTAATACCAAACTGTCAGGTATTATCTCTGGATGGAGAGCTGGGTGTGATTTTTGTTTTTATTTTTCTGTAGTTTCTGATATAAATGATTAGAGAAAGGCAAGCAAGTGGGTGATCTGCTTCTAAGATTCAAAAAAAGGCCAGCAAGAGGCAATACAGCAGACATCTGGCAGACATGGGTGCTGAGATCAGGACCCGGGTTCAAATCCATGGTTTGCTGATGAATAGCTATGCAAATCTGACAAGCGTTTTATTTTTCTTGGCCTTGGTTTTCTCCAGTGAAGATGGGGATGTTGCCATTTAACCCATAAGGCTGTGAACACTTACTAAGGTAATCAATGTATGTCATTTCACATGGAGCATAGAAAGCACTAGTAAATATTAGTGATTATACAGCATAGTTAATACACATTTGATACATACAAATCCATTGCTTAGTTTACAACCCATCAGGTTAATCATTCCCTTTCAGCAGTCTGTGGTTGGGAGAGGGTGAGCAGAAGGGGGTTACAGTGAGGAGCAGAGGGAGGGGTACTCAGTACAGACGCCCACTGTATAGTCAGACCCTGACACCTGCAGCTGATGGTCAAAGAGGGCCTTGAGTCACATAACAAGTTCATGTGAGCTGGGCAGGACCCCGTGCCTGCTGCTGGGGTCTCCTCCCTAGAGGTGTTTCTTGAAGAAAGCTCACTTGAACCTCCCTGTTGCACCAGGGTCCTGGCTTTTTCCCCTGGGGATCAGGGAAAGCCTGGCCTGCCTTGAGAGGCCTTGTCCATGTGGAGCCTCTGACCTGGGGGCCCAGTGACTGGGTCACAGCCTCTCATGCCCTCTCTGTGCCTGGACCCAGGGTCAGGCCTCCAGGCCAGCGGTGCCCAAAGCCTCCCCTGAGGCCCTATTCCCAATCTTCATGAGCACTGGCTGCAGTCCTTGGGCTGGTGACAGGAGCTGCCTGCTCCTACCCACCCTGGAGGTTTGGGAGTTACAGTTCTGGAGCCCCCTACCAGTCCCAAGGCCTCTGGGAAAAGAGTCAAATGTGTCTATTAACTGGAGTCATTTTGTGGATTAAATTATTTCAGTCTTTTCAATTTCCCAGAAGTGGAGATCTAAATGCAGGAAGGTAGGTCCTGCTCAAACTTCCAGGTAATGAGGCCTGGGTGGTGGGGGCCTGAGCCCACCTCGGGACCTCTGGGCTGCAGCTTGCAATTACAGCCCAGAGGGAGGCCTTCTTAGTGAGAATGACCATATATGCTGAACCCCAAGTTGGGATGAGGGAACAGAACATGAAAAACATGGGCTCTGGGATTTGGTGGAGCTGTGTTCAAATCCCTGCCTTTCTCTTTGGTTAGCTGTATAAGCTTGGCCATGTTTCCTAATCTCATGAGGCCTCAGTTTGGTTACCTATTAAATGGAGCTACAAATAGAATCTGGCTCATTTGGATTTTGCAGGGAAAAACGATATGATATGTAAAGTGTGAATCCCCAGATTTGGCAAAAACTGCTGCTGCTGAGGATGAAGATAATGAGTGTGGAGGTCCCAGAAGTTGGATATTGACTAGGAGGTGGCTCTGGGCAGGAGGTCCAGCATCTGTGCTCCTCCTGCCAACATTTTGCCACTTGCTCTCTGCCTGGGAAGATCTTGTCACCTGGGAGTGATGCCTGGGGAGAGAGGGAGGCCTGCCACTCTCCCGGAGTGTGTGCCCAGGAGGCAGCTGTGTGCTCTGCCAGGTCCAGAAGCCCAAGCTGACTTATGGCCTGCAGGAGGGGTGAATGTGCCCAGGCCACCACCTCTGGCCTTGACTTTCAGGATTGTGTGAGGAAACAAGCAGGGAGATGAATAATAATCAGAGACAAAAAGGCCAGAGGGGCCTGAACTGGCTGCTGCTGCATCACAGGGCCGTACAGGCAGCAGCCAGCTGACGCTATGGAGCCTCTTCTCCTCAGTAGGGCACTCAGATAGCATCCAATTGTTTACAGTGTCCTCATCTGTAAAATGGGGAAAAACAAAACCCTCCAGCATTGCTCTGAGGACTAAGTTCCAGGCACATAGTACAAACTCAGTAAATGTGAGCTCTTGCTATGGACCCAAGGGTGAGGGGGAAGCTGGTGGGCCACCTGTAGAGGGGACCACATCCCCAGACTCAGGGACCTCACTTGCCTGGCCCACAATTCTCCCTTTGAGGGGCTTGGCTTCTAGGGCACCTCTCCTTTCTACACATGAAACACAAATAGCTTCTGAGTTTCAGGGCTTCTGGAAGCCTGACAGGGTGGAGATAGGTTGGGAGGGGGAAACAGGGGTTTAGAAGTAGCTGACTTCTGACTTAAACCCTCTGCCACAGTTTCCTTATCTGTAAAAAGGGGCTTACAAACTGCAGTTTTTCTTCCTATGGTCTATGAATAATTCTCTATGAATAGCTATGAACTGTTATCTGCACTTCCTGTCCCACCTGGATGGCAATGTTCACAGCAGCTGTCTCAGCATTACTACTTTGGGGCTCTGGGAAGTCTGGCCAGGCGGTAGCCAGGTGGAAGCTGGTCGTGGTGCTCTCTGCTGCCTTTTGGCTTCTGGCTGAGCATGAGGCTGGAGAAACACAGATCAATACCGCCGTCTGGTGGCCATCTCTTTAGAGGCAGGGAGCAGAGTGCAGAGACCACATGACATTTCAAGGCAGTGCCTGAGGATTTTTGAACCTCTGTAAGGAAGAAGCACCCAGAATG